CCTTTAAGGACCGAAACGTCCGCCGAGAGAAACATGTGTTTGATATACTCGTCGTGAAAAAGGTCATGCAGGTTTTCCCCCCAAGCCGTGGGCCAGTCCTCAAAATCCGTGAGCAACTTAATGGTGTGCACGTCCGTGACGAAGCGAATAGCGAAGGCGTTAGCGTGCGGGGTCAGCTTACCATCTACGACGGTGGGGTGCTCTTCGAAGCCGAACTGACCGAACAAGACAGCGATGACCTGCTGGTGCTGGTCGGGCCAGCGCACGATAGCCTGGTACCACCTCAGCCTCTGAACGAGGAGCTCGACTCGAGAGGGGACTATATTCATCCACTTAAAAACACTCCTACTGTCCCAAGACTTAGGGTGAGCCCCCGACCTGTCACACATCGCACCCGCCGCTATGCAACGAATTTTACCGAGCAACGCAACATCAAGCTGGGCCTCCTGGGTTTCCGTGAGGAGATACGGGGCGAGGCCAGACAGTAGCGCACCTTGCACAACAGATGTGAATACAAGGCGTTTCACCTTAAAGGGCCCCCCCCGAAGGCCACAAATATTTAAAAGAGAGCCACCCTCGGTTGGCAGCCTGTTTGCTCAAGTGCATCTGGTGAGAGAACGCGCCACTCGGGAGAAACTGAGGGCCATGGTATCGCGTGTGAGGAGCGACTCTGGCGCCGCCGACCTGAGCAGAGTAAAACTGACGATTAGCATTATATCCGCAGAGGCGAGGGACCAGGACCTGCTTTTTAGCGTTCTGGCGGTAGCCGAACGCTTCCAAATGCGCCCCGATGGGCGGCCTGGGAGGCCTGCGTACACACCACAGCTTCCGCCGGGGACCCCGAGGCCAGGAGCAAAAAAAATAAGCGAGGTCGTCCACATACTTAAAAAGGCCTCCATACACTTTCTCGTCGAATAGCGAGCAGCGAGCAACCAGAAGGGGGTCTTCGCACTCCTCGAGCCACTTACCCAACGGCCGAGCGAAGTCGACTCGAAATTCGTCGGGAGCGCTCGGATCCCCCATGAGGGCCCCACTTTGGAGGTGAAGGTGTGCAAGTGAGTCCACGCCGTCTATGTGTAAGATGTGCGTGGTGCGCCTGTCAGCAAGCAGTTCGGCATCCGCCGAAGGAAGATACTCCATCAGTCCCCGATCCATGCGGGAATGATCACAACAACCAAAAGCGTTTTTCATATCATCGAAGACCGAGATGTGCCACACGCGTGCAGTGCGCAAACGTTCAGACAGCACGTGCACTCCAAGAATCGCATTCTCGCGCCGACGACGTGGGATGCAGCCGTGGTCGAACACAGCCGGGGCTCCGTGAGGCACGGAGGAGTAGACGCCTCGAGCGATCGCCCTGAAAAAGGGGCAGAGGCCATGCAAGAAACGGGTGCCACCATCTGGCTTGGGAGTCTGCCATCCGATCGAGAACCCCGCACACGTGGGAAACCGCCCACACATCCTCCAGCACGTGGCGAGACTCCCCAGTCCAGCAGTGATACAACTCACCTCAGGGGGGTCGGGTTTGGCTCCCAGACCGAAGGGGGTGGGGCGAGGCTTACTGTAGTAGCCAGGCTTAATTAGCATGAGCCAGATCTCCCCAGGCAAGGACCATGGTGGGACCGATCGGCGTCGACAAGCGCGGCGCAGCACCCACGAGGCCCTGTGTAAGTCCCTCCCCCCACGCACCTCCGCCGAGCCCCGAGCTTGCATGCCTCGTGGGGCCAGCGAGGCCCGCGTTTTTTAAAAGTCGTCCAGAGAAACCCTAGTCGCCGAGAGACCGCCTTGGTTGCCAGGAAGCCCCAGGGCACACGCGAGTTCATCTGCCGATGCGTGGTGACAGCGCACCGCCGAGTGATTACGGCGCTTCGGGCCGAGGCCCGTCCCAGAGAGACGGCGACAGAAGTATTGCACATTGGCTAGATCCCGTCGCCTCCAGGCGTCGTGCAGGCCTTCAGTCCAGGTACGCCTGAGTGACCTCGACCAGCGCCTGACCTCCCACTTGATACGGTTCGTGTAGTCGCGGATCTGGGAGTCGTAGAACACGTGGGGCTCGCTCAGCTCGCGCAAGCGCGCCCGATGCCGAAGGAGCTGTCGAACAAGAACTCGATGCTCAGCCAGCGCCGCCCCAGGTGCTCTGCGTGCCCGCCCGAAGTGTTTCTTAGCAATAGGCATGAGAGTGTCGAGCAGGGTGCGGTAGCCGTCGTCGATGCAATTGGATTCGAAGTAGCCAAGGTACGAAGGTGCTTGAACTCGCATGGCATCGTTCAGCTCTTTCAAGAAATCCTCACGAAGTCCAGGAGTCTGCAATGCCGTCTCAATCGCATCAAAGTTCCACGCCATGGCAGCCGTGCCGTTCTGCAAGCTGGGCACCCCAACATCAGCCTCCAGCAGGAGGGGCGCGTGATCGCGCAAGGTGCCCTGACTGGGGAAAAGCTGCAAGACACGGGCTGCCTTCGTCATAGTCAGCAACTTACTGATACGAGGCAGAAGGCCAGTCGGTACAACGAAGTGGTCGATGTACGTGGCACTCTTCTCGCCGTAGAAGGTCGGCGAGATCCTATGAAAGGTGGTGGCACAGCCCAAGAAGTGACGGTGCATCAGCTCGCGCAAGTAGGAGGAGGGAGGGAGGGAGGGAGGGGAGGAGGAAGGGAGGAGGAGGGAGGGGAGGAGGAGAAGTAGGAGGGAGGGAGGAGGAGGATCAGGAAGAAGAGGAAGAGGAGTAGGAGGCCGAGCAGGGGTCTCACGGTCCACCTGGGCGACGAGCAACAGCGGGTCTTACGCGAGATATCGTAGCGGCCTGACGCGGCGGCTCACGCGGGCCGCCGGCGCGGCACGCTGCACTGGCAACGAGGGCGCTTACGCGCGACCTTTACGCGGGCAGCTCACGCGCCAATGCCGGCGCAGACGACTCCGTTTTTTTGCGTCTCTCACCTCGGGACGCCCACAGGCTGGGCTTCCGCGCAGACCGGGGCTGGCGCCGTGTCTGCTGCGGCATCTCGCGGGGGGCAGGTCGTCCTGAGGGTACGTCTGGGGCCTCGTGCACCTGGCTGCTAGCGTGCTCCACCTCTGCAGAAGTCGAATCGCTGGGCACTGGGCGCGCTGCTGCTACTTCGCACGGCGATGAGTTGTTTCAGCAAGCGTTGTCGGGGAGGGGAAAGCGAGCTGCTACCTCAAGCTCTGCATGTCGTCAGAATCCACGGCTGCGTGTAACATTGACCGTCCGGCCAAAGAAATGCCCCTCCCCTCTCCCCCAGGGCAAGATGACGTTGATGCTGGACGTGCGGGCAGTGAGCAGCAGTGGGAGTGGAAGTCTGCGACGTCAGCACCATCTTGATCCAATCGGGTGTACCAAATACTCCATGGCCCCCTGGGACCAGAACGTGTGGCAGCAAGTCCCTGAATATAGGGTCATATCCTATCCAAAACCCCCGACGTCGTGATTTTTTCAGGACGTCGACCCCCAGAGATCTGGACCCCTTCCCCAGGACAATTTTTTCGTCCCGAGTCGTTTTTTTCACGGTCCCGAAGCCCAGTAAGCCCCCAGAGGCTGAAAATATCGAAAACCCTTCCGTCGTCGTGGCCTTTTTCATGACGCGAGGGGGTCTGGGATTAGCGCAAAAGTGTCCTATCCTGGATCCTCCAGGACAACTCACAGCATCGAATCAAAGAGTCGTATCGGATTGGAACGGGCGTCGGATCGGACAGCATCGGCACAGAGTCGAGCTCGAACTGGACTGGCCGCGCAGGGATACACAGCAGCGCCATGCACACACCGCTGGCCGCAGCAGATCGCCGGCACATCGGCATGTCGTGTCGCATCGGGCCGCACGACGTCTGGTCGAGACGGACCCTGAGCAGCTGGAAGGGGGGATGGGGGAGCAGGGCGATACCGATATCCTGACACCCGACGTCGCGATGTTGTTCATGACGTCGACCCCCAGCGGTCTCGACCCACTCCCCGAGACCGTGTTTTCATCCTCAATCGTTGTCTCACTGTCCGGAGGCACGGTAGGGGCCCCCGCGGAGGCCGAGGGTGGCGGGAAACCCGCGGTCGTGATTTTGTCCTGCCTCGAGGGGGTACGGGTACCGCTACAGGGCACGCGGAGCATGTCTGAAAAACGGCACCCTACTCCCCGGACTTCTCCCCGGGTGCGCCCTGGAGCTCGAGGAGCGTCCGGCCGACGCGTCGAAGGCCCCTGCAGGAGGGGAGCAGCGGCGTCGGAAATTGCCTCCTCGGTATACCTCCTTCTGAGTCAGGGGATCCGACGATGGCCGTAAGAACGCTCACAAGATCCGAAGAAATCGCGCCTCAGGGCCAGACTCCGTGTTTGGGCACCATGTTTCGAGCTGGATCGATATGTGACGGTCCCGGGGCCTGGAGAGCAGGGACCACTCGGCGGCGAGCCCGGGGGGGAAGCGAGAAGAGGCGGGCCTTCCCTGAAGGCTCGGAAGTCCTCTGGCCCTCTGGGAAGGGCTCTGAGCCTTCCCCGAAGACGCGGCAAACCTCTCGGAAGGCGCGAGGGCTTCTGAGAGGTCCCGCCGCCTTCCGAGAAGGCCTTCTCCTTCTCACTCCCACCCCCTCGCTCGCCGCCGAACATCGCCCGGCGCGAGAACATTGCCACGCCCAGCTCTCAGGGAGGGCCACCCTCCGGCCCCTCCTGCCCGCCGCCGTGCTCCCAGCAAGGGGGCCCCTGGGCCGCGACACCGCGGGCAATGGGCACGCACTCTGCGCGGCCGCCCCGGAAGCCAGACCGCGAGGGCGCGGCTGCGGACCCCTCGACCTGCTCGGAGCACGGGCCCCCGGACCTCTCGACCACTTCAGCCTGGGACCGGCTCTTCGCCCCGAGGCGTTTCCCGACGGCCCCGGCCCCGAGGTGCGGTAGGGACCCCCCCAGAGGCGATCTCTAAAACACCTCTGGCTGGATTTGTTCGAGACGCCAGATGTCTGGGGAGCTGCTCGCCGCTCGCAAGGCCGCCCTCCCGTGCCCCATCCTGGCCTGCAGCCGTGCTCCCAGCCCACGTGCGCGGCCCACATCAGCGCCGTCCACTGGCCGAAGCCGCTGCGCTGGGACGGGTCCGCCCCCCAGCGGAGCAGCAGGGGGACAACGCGCGTGCACCTCCCGCGCGCAACCGCTGCCCCGCTGCCCTGCGGCTCTCCCCCGACAGCCCTCGCGCTCCTCCTCGTCCTCCTCCTACTCGTCCTCCTCCACCTCCTCCTCCTCCTCCTCCTCCTCCTCCTACTCCGTCTCCTCCTCCTCATCCTCCTGCTCCTGCTCCTGCTCCTGCTCCTGCTCCTGCTCCTGCTCCTCCTCCTCCTCTGTCTCCTCCTCCTCCTCCTCCTCCTCCTCCTCCTCCACGTCCCCCTCCTCCTCCTCCTCCTCCTCCTCATCCTCCTGCTCCTCCTCCTTCCCCTCCTCCGCCTCCTCTTCCTCCGCCTCTTCCTTCCTCCTTCATCACATTCCTCCTCCTCCGCTCCTCCCTCCTCCTCTTCTGCCTCCTGCTCCTCCTGCTCCTCCTCCTCCTCCCCCTCTTCCTCCTGCGCCTCCGCCTTCACCTCCGCCTCAACCTCCTCCTCCTCCTCCTCCTCCTCCTCATCATCATCATCATCACCATCATCAGCATCATCATCGTCATCATCTTCATCATCATCGTCATCATCATCATCATCAGCAGCAGCATCATCAGCGTCATCAGCATTACCATCATCATCATCATCAGCATCATCATCAGCAGCAGCATCCTTCTCTTCCTCCTCCTCCTTCTCATCCACCCCCAGCTTTTCCTGCTGTTCCTTACATTCCTCTTCGTTTTCCACCTCCTCCTTCCACTCCTCCTGCTCCCTCTCCTTCTCCTCCTTCTCCTCCTCCTCTTCCTCCGCCTCCACCTCCGTCTCCTCCTCCCCGCTTCCTCCCCTCCTACCTGATTGTTATTGCTCCTCCTCCTCCTCCACTTCCACTTCCTCCTCCTCCTCCGTTTCCTCCTCCTCCTCCTCCTCATCATCATCAGCAGCATCAATAAGAGCATCATCATCATCACCCGCCTGCGCCTCCGCCTCATTCCTCCTCTTGCTCCTCCTCCTCTTCTTTCTCCTTCTCCGCCGCCTCCTCCTCCTTTTCCTGCTCCTCGTCCTCCTGTTCCCTTCTCAGCCTCGGCCTACCACCCTTCATGCTCCTCCTCCTGCTCTTCATCCTGTTCCTCCTCCTCCTCATCATCATAATCCTCCTCCTCTTCCTCCACCTCCTCCGATCCTCCTCTTCCATCTCCTCAACCTCCTCCTCCTCCTCCTCGTCCTCCTCCTCTCCTTCCTCCACCTCCCCCCTCCCTCCTCCTCCTCTCCTCCTCCTCGTCCTCCTGCTCCTCCTCCTCCTCCCACCTCCTCCTCTCCTCGTCTTCCTCCCCCTCCTCCTCTTTATCCTCCTTCTCCGCCCCCGCCTTCACCTCCGCCCCCGTTTCCTCCTCCTCCTCCTCCTTTTCTTCCTCCTGCTCCTCCTCCTCCTCCCTTCTTCCATTCCTTCTCCGTAAAGATATGTTTTTCTGTCGCGCCCCGTGGCCAATGTTTATGGCGGGCCGGGCGTTTCGCCTGAGACTTCCGCACCATCTACGACCCTGGAACTTGAAGAACGACAACAGTTTCGCAGGTGGGGGATGGGTCGTTTTCAAAATGTGGCTCTCGCCATAGCGCCGTGCACGTTGGTTTTTCCCCATCCATCATGTGATGTTGGGTCTTCGTTTTGATAAGACGGTGCCCCGCATTCCTCTCCTCCCCCCTCCATGCGTTTCACCACCCAGTACAACGGCTCGCGCCACACAGGGAGCCCCGCCGAAGGCCCCCAATGGCAGGGTTCGCATGGCGGCCTCGGGCTTGTTCGGCACACCCCTCACGAGGATCGTGGCCCCATAGGGAATCCCACCGGAGGCGTTAACGGCAGGGTTCGCATGGCAGCCTCGGGCCCTTCCGGCACACACCCCTCGCGAGGATCGTGCCCCATAGGGGGCTCCACCGAAGGCGCCAGTGGCAGGGTTCGCGCGGCGGCCTCGGGCCAGTTCTGAACACCCCTCACGAGGATCGTGGCCCCATAGGGAGCTCCGCCGAAGGCCCCCAATGGCAGGGCTCGCATGGCGGCCTCGGGCCAGTTCGGCACACCCCTCGCGAGGATCGTGGCCCAACAGGGAGATCCACCGAAGGCGCCAGTGACAGGGTTGGCATGGCTGCCTCGGGCCAGCCCGGCGCACCCCTCAGGCGGACCACAGCCGCGTAGGGATTTCCACCGAAGGCGCCAGCGGCAGGGTTCGCATGGCGGCCTCGGGCCATGTCGGCACACGCCCCACGAGCATCGTGGCCCCATAGAGAGCTCCACCGAAGGCCCCAGTGGCAGGGTTCGCACGGCGGCCTCGGGCCATTTCGGCACACCATTCACAAGATCGTGGCCACGTGGCGAGCTTCACCGACGGCGCCAGTGGCAGGGCTCGCATGGCGGCCTCGGGCCACTTCGGCACACGCTCCACGAGGATCGTGGCCCCGTAGGATCTCCAGCTAAGGCGCCAGTGGCAAGGTCCGCGCGGAGGCCTCGGGCCATGTCCGCGCACCCCTCACAAGGATCGTAGCCCCACAGGTGCTCCACCGAAGGCGCCAGTGGCAGGGTTCGCATGGCGGCCCCGGGCCCATGCGGCACGCCCCTCACGAGGATCGTGGCCCCATAGTTCTTGTTTCAGCAGCCGCGCCTGGGCGTCGTACCCCGCCTTGTCGACGTGCAACGCCACCTTCTCCCTCATGGCTCTCAAAGCCCTCCCCTGCTTCTCCTCCTCGGTCAGAAGGGCGCCGTCCTTGTCGTCGTCTGCGCCCGCGAAAACGGCCACGAACGTGTTCCTGAGCATGTCGGGCGGCTCCGGCGGGAAGCCGTGGCCACATAGGGAGCGCGGGCGAAGATGGTATTCACAATTTCGGTATTCACTGCTGCCTATGGTTGGGTCCTTGGCCCGGCTAATGTTTTACAAATGTAAGGGTTTCACATATGCAGGGCGGGCCGTTTGCAAAATGTGGCTCTCGCTTTTGCACGGTGCACATTTGTTTCGACAACTTGCAAGAGCTTCACGTTTTGAAGGCGGGTCGTGCTCGCAATGTGGTTCTCGCCCTCGCGCCGCGCAGACTCGTTTTAAAAATGCAAGATCTGCGCGGATTGAGGGTGGTTCCTTTTCAAAATGTGGCTCTCGCCCTAGCGCCGCGCACATTCGTTCATAACATTTGCCAAGGTTGCACGGATTCCTTGATCATCGTACCAGAAATTCCGTTTTTGAGGGGTTCAGGATTACTCGGGCGCAACAGTTACGTATGTTGATTCACTGTGTCGAAGTCCCGAAAACGTCGTTCACGCTTCAGAATCTTCAAACTGTTGCCTTCCAGCGAGGCCATTTCCTCAATGGACATGAACCGTTGTAGGGGCCTATGATGAGGCAGCCTGGAGGGAGGGTTAATTCCAACATCATTGAAGACTCTTGGGTTTCCACTGGTCCTCCTCCTGCTCCTCCTCTTCCTCCACCTCCTCCTCCTCCTCCTCCTCCTCCACGTCCTCTTCCTCCTCCTCCTGCTCCCCCTCCTCCTTCTCCTCCCCCTACTCCTCCTCCACCACCTCCTCCTCCACCACCTCCTCCTGCTCCTCCTCCTTTTCCTCCTCCTCCTCCTCCTTCGTCTCCTCCTCCTCCCCTTCCTCATCCTCCCCCATCCCCGTGTTCCTCCATCATCACCATCATCATCGTCATCAGCATCATCAGCATCATCGTCATCACCAGCATCATCAACATTATCGACATCAGCAGCACCATCATCATCAGCAGCATCAACAGCAGCAGCATCAGTATAATCATCATCATCGTCATCATCATCATCATCATCATCACCATCATCAGCATCATCATCATCACCACCATCATCATCATCATCATCATCATCATCATCAGCATCATCATCATCGTCAGCACCATCAACACCATCAGCATCCTCATCATCATCAGCAACATCGTCATCACATCAACGCCTCCGCCTCCGCCTCCGTCTCCGCCTACTCCTCCCCCTCTGGTTCTCCTCCTCCTCCTCGTCATCATCAACCTTGACTTCCTCCTCCTCACCTTCCTTCACCTCCTCCTCCTCCTCCTGCGCCTCCTTCTTCTCCTCCTCCTCCTCGTCTGCACCCTCCCCCTCTTGTTCCCTACCCTCCTGCTGCTGCCACTCCGACTCCTCCTCCTCCTCCTCCTCCTCTTCCTCCTCCTGCTGCTCATCCTCCTCTTCCTCCTGCTCCTCCACTTTCTCCTCCTCTTCCGTCTCCTCCTCCTCCTCCTCCTCCTCCTCCTCCTCCCTCCTCCGCCTCATCCTCCCCCCCCCGTCCTCATCCACTTCCTCTTCCTCCTCCTCTTCCTCCTCCTCCTCCGTCTCCCCCTCCTCCTCCTCCTCCTCCTCCTCCTCCTCCTCCTCCTCCTCCTCCCCCCCCCTTCCTCTTCATCCTTCTCCGCCGCCTCCGCCCCCACCGCTGACTTCTCCTCATCATCATCATCATCCATTTGGTCCGTCTCCTCCTCCTCCATCTGCTCCCCCTCCCCATCCATGCCTTCTCCTTATCAATAATTCCCCCCTGTCCGAGGCTAGTTTTTAGGGCGGACTGGGCGCTTCGTCTGGGACTTCCCCACCACTTATGACTCCGAAACTTGAGGATTGGTCAGCTTTCGAAATGGAATGCGGGCCGTTTTCAAAATGTGGCTCTCGCCTCAGCGCGGCGCGCATCCGTTCTACACATTCGCAAGAACTTCACGGATTGAGGGCGGGCCGTTTTCAAAATGTGGTTCTCGCCTGGGCGAGGCGCACATTCGTCTTTAAAAACATTGCACGGGCTTCACGGATGGAGGGCGGGCGGATTGAAAAATGTGGGTCTCGCCTGAGCGCCGTGCACATTCGCTTCGGCAATTGCAAGAGCTTCGCGGACGGAGGGCGGCTGGTTTTCAAAATGTGGCTCTCGCCTTAGCGCGGCGCACATCCGTTTCGACAATTTGCAAAGGGTTTCACGGTTGGGGGCGGGTCGTTTTCAACATGTGGCTTTTGCCTAGGCGCGGCGCGCACTCGCTTTAAACA